TCCACTCCGCACTCCCCCCATCATTCACTATGGTAAGATTTTTTGTTCTGATGATGCCTTACACCTGATCCCTTCGACACCTCGTGGTTGCATGATTTCTTTTTCTTCATGGCACTTACCACCATTTATTTTTCTAGGTATTTTGCTTTTTTATTTTGTTGTACGAATATAAATTCTCTGGTTGCAGGGATTTTATGTGTTTTGTTCATGAATGTGAGCAGTGCCTAGGAACTGTGTCTGGCATTTAGTAGCCTCTCAATAACTATTTATTGAAAAAATGCATGTAACTGGTAGCCCAGAATCATCTATACAATTCATTCTTTCTTTCATCTGACTTAATTCTGTGTATTTTCACTCTTTCAGCCAGAACTGTGTTGTGTAGAATGGGGAGGGAGCAGTTAGGGTTTTGGTTTAGACAGAAATCTCATCCCATCCTTAAATAACGACTAGAGGGATTCTTATTTCCCTATTCTGATTTATCTGAATATTGGAATTTTGGAAGATCGTTCCAATTCCATTAGTGATTTCTGTGGTAGTTAGATAATTTCTGTTGTGGTTACATAATTGCATGTCAACTTGAAAACATATAACAGTGTACGAGTGCAGTCTAGCCTGTCAATCAGGTCATGCCTGATGGTGCCTCTTTGTAGGCGTGGCCTTCTTGTAAGGAGGGTCCTGGGAACCTCCTCTCTCCCTCTGTCTTTACCTTCCTGCTGGCAAGCCACTCTGAAACCTGCCAGAGCCCAGAGATGCAATTTTGCATGTGACTGCATGAGCCTGGAGAGGAACCTATGGACTAGTGCTGAGCTTAGGGACTTGAGTTAGACCCGGCTGGGATGTATGAGCGTCACTGAATTTGTTTCTCTAGTCAACCTGGCCTAACACAGTTTCTTAAATACTTTCCCCAGAATCATTCATTAGGCATCTTAATTTTTCCAAGTCATAGAGAAATCAATTCCCAAATATTCTGAAATAGTAGACAATTATTTTAGAATTATGACAAAAAAGAAAGCATAAAAACCTTTTCTCATGAATGGAGAAATGGAGTGGTTCATGAGTTCGCTGGAGACCATTGAGTAGTTTGCCATTGGATTATTCTTCATGATATCAAATGAAGTGTGATGGACAATTTTCTCTAGAACTTTATCGTCTAGGTCTTTTCCAATAAATTTTGCCATCTTCTGAATTTCTTGCTTAGGGTTCTATGGTCAAAGTCAAAAGAAAAGGAGGAATTTAATATAAAATAAGTTATTTAAAAAGCATATCAAAGTGGATTAATAACAGTAGACTATGTCTATAAATGGGCTACTGTTTTAAAAGTTGAATGTCAAAAGTGCTAAATTTAATTGGATTCACACAGCTGGGGGTGAGGCAGGGTATTAGAAATCAAAAACACTAAGGACTGTGAACTTTCTGTGAAAGTTTCATATGTCTACATACAAATATTGAATCCTGCTTTTAATACTTTGAGTTTGACTCCTTATTTTAATAAACTCTCTTCCTGACATTCAGAATCTATGATCGACATCAATAAAAAAAGGTCCTGCCCCCAGAGATGTCTCCTCTCTTTGACACTGAGCCACTGATCATAGAAGAACCACTTAAGATGGTAGACTATTATCTGTGTGGAATTCTAAGTTTAATAGCACAATTTCTTCTATGGCTCCTTCAGTTTGGAATAGCTCATAAATGAGTAAAATCTCTATAACATACAGTTCCCCACTGTATAATATTCCTTATGAGTATCTGTATCTGGGGCTTTCCAAGTAGATAACTCTTTGAACTAAAATAGCTCATATACCTAAAATACATTCTTCCAGGATTTGGGTGTAGGCAATGTGAGTCTCCTTTTATATGCTTTTCTGTCATTTAGCAGGGGTTTTTTGTACCTTCTAAAGCATTTCAAAAAGAAAAATAT